CTAAACCCCTGAACCCTAAGTTCGAAACCCTAAAACCCTCAACCCGAAACCCCAACATCCCTACAAGGCTGGCCGTGAGATCATGCTCTCCAACACCTCGGACCTGAAGATGTCCGCGTGCTCCGGAAGAGTTGGCGACACACACGGGCTCCAGTATAGAGGGGGTCTGAAAAATGTATGGGGCCTTTGCTTTGAGGGTTCTGGCATGTTGTTTGGGGTCTACTTGAAGGTTCATGCTGGTTACCAAAAGAGTGGACAGTGTAGTGAAGCTGCCGTATTGAGGTATTGAAAGCCCTATGTGCTTTTTCAACACATGCAGCGAATATAATATCTCTTTCTAGACAGTCCAGAGCAAGATGGGGAAGGATCTTGATCGGGAACCCCGAAGTGCGTTGCACTGCCACCCAGGCGCTTGGCATACTCTACAGGCAGCACAGCGACGCAGCCGACCGGGCACGCGGGATGGGGCGACGCAGACTTCAGCCTTGTCGGGAACAACGAGGCGGAGTTGCAGGAGGGAGCCCGGGCCGTTCTTGAAGACTATTTTCTGGTGATTTTCGAGGGTTTAGGGCTTCTTTCCCACATGTTACTGCATGCTTAAGAAGAAGCAGAGGTTTTGGCTCGAACACCAGCCAAGGAATGACCTTCCATTTCATCCCGTGGTTTCAGAAGTAGCTAGGCCTGACTTGAGGACAATTTTATAAATACCTTTTTGGTCTAGTGTCTTCTAAGGAAGGAACCAGGATTTCCATTTCAAAAGCAGGAGCAACAGTAACATACTGTAATATAAGAGGACCCCACATTTTCAAAGGGGGGGCTCTAAGAACAGCCCAGGTACACAGAGCCCTCGGGGCCCTTGGGCCTCTCTGATACCGTGATCGTGACCTCCAACGGCGGCCAGCGCTTCGGTGCCTTACCCCTGAAGATGACGGCCCCTGGGCTCTTACTGTGGGCTCTTGTTCAGGAACCTAATTTAAGTTACCAAAATTGGGAACTATCTTACTGTGGCTTCTTGTGAATGGATTTTGCGGTTTAAGGTTTAGGGTTGAGGGTTTAGGGTTTTATTTAAGTTACCATAAGTGGGGTCTTGTTAAGGAAACTAATTTAAGTTACCATAATAGGGATCTTTAGTCTAAGTTGCCACATTAGGGATCTGCAATTTAAGTTACCATCACGGGGATCTATCGTAAATGATATGGTGTCTTTGTTATGGTCACTTAAATTAAATCCCCTAACCAGAACCCAGTTACTGTGGGTTGTAGGGTATTGGGGTTTGGGGTTTAGGGTTTAGGGTTGAGTAGAAACTGAACTGTTTAAGTTGCCACTATGGCCCCTGGGCCTTGCTTAGAAACTCAAGTATTTTAGTTGCACATATAAGGGGAAGAGGAGAGGGAACATACCTATGTAGGAGGTTGTTTGTGACTATATATATATATGTTATATGTGTATGGAAGTAGAAAGCTATCCTTATCTTGGCAGCTGGAACTGAGTTCCTTGGCTTTTGTCACCCCAGGTTCTGAATCCAGATGGTTCAGAATGGCAGAACCAGATTGCTTGATGGAGCGTCTGCGTCTGTTAGATGCTGTGAGGGCATATAGGAAGTTTCAAAGCCAGACTTTCGAGATCCAGCGGCATCAGGGAATACTCTGAAAAGACTTCGCCCCTTGAGCTTGCTGCCTTCTGGGATGTCGAGATGTAGCCGTTCACGCCATGCCATGCCGTGCCGTTGAGGCTCTCAGCTTTGACTCTGTTAAGTGGCACAAGAGATGGGTTTTTGGATAGGCGGGTCGGCCAGCAGAGCAGAGCAAGCACGGTGGAGAAATCCAGTAACTCTCAGCTTGCCGTGGAATGATGTCGATAGCATTGTGATCTGCTGCTGCAGGCCGGAACCTAGTACGGAATTGGAACAGTTGTTGCTGCATTTCACGCGAGACTGAGCTTGTGAGCGGCTTCGCTGCTCAGGACAGGTGTCCATGCCCAAGAATGTGAACCTTTTCGGTACGTGCGCCGGCCATGGTGAGTGGGCAATCCACGTTTGAGGGTCGAAACAGGCTGCCCATTGTCGAAATCCTGGAGGTATCTGCAGAATGTCAGCCGCAAGATTCAGCAAGGCTACAGGAAGAGCCAGATGACGAGGAGCGTAGCTTGCACAGCATGCCTTGTTGTGATAATCTATCCCCTTATATTCGCTTCTCACAATCACAATTAGCATATATATATATATACACACACGTATGCATATATATATATATATATCTATCTATCCTCCATCCCTCCAAAAAAGCCGATTCCTTCAAAGCCCCTTGAGCCCAGCCCCGAACCCTCGGTCCAAAGGCTTCGACAGTTGGATTTCAATCCCGCAGCCTTCTGGCCCGAAGCAGGGTCTTCTGCTTCGAAAGATCCGAAAGACACCGTAAATATTTTTTGATAAGAGTAACAATTGTTGATACTATGATTACGTAGAAAGAAGGTGTGGAACCAAGGGTCAGAGGTCCCAGCACAGAACCAGCATTGCAAGCAGCCTGAGCCCTTTTACCTACCCCCCCCCAGAGAGCGATGTACAACCCTGCAACCTTCTCACAGCCTCCAAAACTCCGTATAAATTAAGAATATACCTATTCAGTCTTATCACGGTTCCTCTTAGAGTTGAAGGTATGAAGGAGTATACCGATTAAATCTTATTAGGGTTCCTATCATAATTTAAGGTATCTTACTCCGGCGTTAGCCTGGCCTCCAAATGCATTCCGGCTCCATGCGGCCGCAGCCTTTCTTGCCAGTTAGGGATTTAGGGCTTAGGGTTTGGGTGAACTTAGGGTTTGGGTTTAGGGTTTGGGTTAGGGTTTGGGTTTAGGCTTTAGGCTTTAGGGTTTAGGCTTCAGGCTTTAGGGTTTGGAGTTTAGGCTTTAGGGTTTAGGGTGGCATCTGCTATAAACCTCCCGAAAGTCCGCCGCCGAGTTATTCCGATTCCTTCGTAACTCGAAACACCCAGAACCCTGAACCCACAGCCTCACCTGAAGCCCCTGGAGTTCTGAACCTTTACACCTTACGCTCTACCTCCCAACTATGCTATTTACATTGGGACGATAAGGGGATACTGTTATCCTAGAGCCCAAACCCTGAACCCAAAGCCCTAAGAGCCAATCGGATGCCAGCCGAGGCCTGTTGCTGCCCTCCTCGGCGCTTGGCCACGGCTGTTGAGGCAGGGGCCGAAGCATTCAATCCTAAATCCCAAAAATCTGGGTTTAGGGAGAGTGCAGGGTTTAGGGTTTAGGGAAGTTAAGGGTTTAAGGGTTCAGGGTTAGGGTTGGTAAAGGGGTTCAGGATTCAGGATCTAGGGCTTAAAGGTCTACATCCTTTCAGGCAAACTCCTCCGAGCTCCCAAGCTGATCCACCAAGCCGAGATCCCAAGCCACGTGCACTGAATTCCTATCCTGCCATCTGAAACCAGAAGCCATCGAACCCTAGTTAGTATCTTCATCAGAAACCTTTAAACCTGCCGATGTTGAACCCTAAACCTGCTGTTCTGAACACTTTTTGTTAAAACCCCCAAAACCTAAACCCAAAACTGTTGAGGTCACGGGCCCCTTCAGGGGCCGTCCCACTGCTACGGCGCTGCTTCGCAGAGGGCGCAGACTCCTCCGACATTCCGAGGTGACCTAAAGTTGATACCCTGGGTTTGGGGTTTAGGGTGTAGGGTTTGGGGATTAGGATTTACAGCTTAGGATATGCAGCCACGAAGTACTGCACCTCTGTCTCTTCGTTTGCGTGTGCCTGTCTCTCTCTGTCTCTTTCTGTCTGTGTCTGTTTTTGTCCGTCTCTGTCCGTTTCTGTCTGTCTCTGTCTGTCTCTGTCCGTCTCTGTCCGTCTCTGTCTGTCTGCCTGCCTGCCTGGCTGGCTGTCTGTCATCTGTCTGTGTGTCTCTCTGTCTCTCTGTCTCCGTCTGTCTCCGCCTGTCTCCGTCTGTTTCTGTCTGTCTCCGTCTATCTCTCTGTCTCCGTCTGTCTGTTTGTCTCTGTCTGTCTCTGGCTGCCTGCCTGCCTGGCAGGCCGGCTGGCTGTCAATATTGAACTTACAGTTGCGCAAAGAGGTCACAAACGACGCCCGAAGATTCGGCGCGGAAGGCCGTGAAGACGCGCAAGAACTGCCGGGGCTTCGAGTTCAGGATCTAGAGTTCAGGATTTAGAGGTTAACGGTTTGGGGTTAAGGGTTTAGAGTGATGAAAGGGCTTGGGGCTCCAGGTTTAGCTTGCCGTGGTTTGTGGGAGTTTGGGGTTCAGGATTCAGGATTTAGAGTATCAGGGGTTTGCGGCTCAGGTGTCAGGATTTGGAGTACAGGGCTCGAGCTTTCTTAGGGGTTTTGGGTTGAGCATCTGAGGCATTGGAGCAGGAGGTCGATGCGGAGATGGAGAAGGCGTCCAGACTGTACTGCAGGGCTATAGGGGTCCGAAGAGTTAACATGGCATCCCCTGATAGTGGCACATATGACACATATGTTTCTGCGTTCTTCTGCGTTCCGCGTACCCAGTCTCCCTGATGTTGTCTCCTCGTAACACCAACCCTGACGCCGTGCTGACGCGCCAGCCTTGGCGCTTCCCTTTCCAACCCCATGCAAGTGAGAGCCTGTGTCGGTCCCAAAAGAAGGAGCGGGACGTGCCAACCTGAACACGCCAAGTGTGCTGTCTGCTTGAAGCCCTGAAGCCTTTAAGGGGCCGCCGTATCGCCGGCCGGTAGGGGAGTTCTACAGCATTACGATTTCAGGGGGGAGGCGGGGGAACCGTGAATGCGAGTATGTATGTATGTATGTATGTATGTATGTATATATATATAGAGTCTTTTGTATATTTACAGTATGTTGTACCGCACTTAGTAAGACAACCGCCTTACTGTCCCTCCTCAACGCCGGTAAAGTATCAGATCACGCAGCAACCTACTCGGTGGCATGTGCTTTCATGGCCTCGAAGGTGAAAGTCCCGATGAGTCTTGTTTATACTACTTGTGCTACACTAGATGCTTCAGCAAAGTTGCCTTGAACTCAGTTGTGATTGTTGTCGTTATCGTGGTGGTAGCATTACCGGGAGGATAGAAGTCATCGTCGTAGCAGTATAGTTTAGTAGGTGGTAGTGGTGGTAGTAGGAGTCGTTGTCGTGGTGGTGGTGGTGGTGGTGGCGGTGCTGGTGGTGGTGGTGGTGGTGGTGGTGGTGGTGTGTGTGTGTGTGTGGTGATCCCGATGGTTGTGGCAGTTCCAGTCGAAGTCATACAGTAGTCGGGAAGTCCCCATCAGACAAGAGGTTTGCAAAAACCACGCAATCCGAAGCACCGAGCTCCACCGGCCTGGCAGAGGTCCGAAGCAGGACCGGCATGAAGCACTCCACAAGCTGGAAGCCGACGGGCCCCCATCTCAGGATGCGCGGAAGGGCCCCCCCCCAGCAAGTACTTCGGCGTAGGGTTGTTTAGGGTTGAGGGTTTCGGTCCAAGCCCCAGCCCTAAGCTAGGAAGGGCATGCAAAGGTGAAAGCCACCGCCTCAACGTGCTTGGCCCAAAGTGCCCAAGCTCAATGAGGTCCAGCGTATCGGTTTCGCCTGCCACAGCAGGCCGGTTCCAGAAGCCACACGTATACAAATAGAAGTAAACAGATAGAAGTAATAGCAAGCACATCCATGCATATATACGTATGTATCTCTCTCTCTCTATATATATATACATACATGTATATCTATACCGTTCTAACTCACTCACTCAACGGCTGACCGACCGACCGACCGGCCGACAGGCTGAGTGACTGACTAACTAATAACTGACTAGCTTACTTAATTACTTACTTACTTGCACTTACTTACTTACATACTTACTTGCGTACTGACTGACCGACTGACTGACTGACTCACTTGCATACTTACTTACTTCCTTACTTCTTTACTTGCTTACTTACTTACTTACTTACTTACTTACTTACTTACTTACTTACTTACTTACTTACTTACTTACTTACTTACTTACTGACTCACTCACTCACTCACTT